TTCTCATAGATTCTGGTGGATTCTGGTAGATTCTGGCAGATTCCGGTAGATTCTTATGAATTCTGGTAGATTCTGGCAGATTCTCATAGATTCTGGTGGATTTTACATGATTCTGGTTGATTCTATAGGGTTCTGGTGGAATCTCCATAATTTTCCAGGGTGGAAAACCAAGCATTTCCCAAAAATTTTCCCCATGTCTTTCTCAAGGTTCCCCCAGGTTTCCTATCCTCAGAACACCATAGAAAACTTATAATCAAATCTAAGATTTCCCATTGGATTTTCCAGGTTATAATTCCCTGAGGAGACCATGAATTCCCATACAGTGTACCTTCCATGTGAATTTTATATTCTCCCACAGTTTTCCATGGATGGGCACTTTGGGAAAACTGTAGATATTCCTTCAATTTTTAGACTGATTGACATTATGATTTCCTAGGGTTTTCCCTCCTGAAAAATCTTTGGAAAAACATCCAATAATGATAGATATTCCCACTGGCTGTCATGCCAGAAAACACTTGAGAAACACTCTGTTTACCAATGATTTTCCTCAACATTGTCACACCATAATCCATTATGTCTCCCAATGATTTCCTGGAAATTCCTAGGCTTTGGACAATCATGAAATCTTCCTCGGTTTTCCTAGTTGGATTTTCCTTGGAAGATGCACCCAGTTCTGATGGTTTTCCTCAGGGTTTTCTGGGTCAGAAAATTTTGGCATGCCTCCAGTGTATAGTCTACTGTGCACTTATATATCTTTGGATTCCCATCTGCTAGGTTTAGGTGTGACATTCCATCTGCCTCAGAGGTTGCTCTTATAGATTCTCCTTCCTGCATGGGGCCTTGGTCCTGTGCTTGTTGTGCACTAGTGTGTGACGATGTGGAGGGTTTTAAACCCTCCATCTCTATTCTATCTCTATCCGAACCAGCTGATTGGTTCCAATTGGTGCTGCCTGGTTGTGTCTCAGGCATGCTAGACGTTGACGTCACTGGTGCTTCTTTCAAAGCATTGTTCGGATTGCCATCTGTGATCTCGTTCATGTCAACTTCCCTCGATGGGTGACTCATCTAACTCCTGGTTCTAACCTGGAGTCTTGCTGACATCCAAGAAGCACTCTTTGCTTCTTTGTCTAGCAAACCATGTGGTTTGCCTATGCACACTCTTTTTAGATCTAGCTTAGGCTAGCTCTTGGGGTTCAAAAAAGTGTAAAGGTTTTTACACTTATATCATTTATATTGTGGTTATCATACAAGCTCGTAGAACTGTTCCAAACAGTTCTATTAAGCAGCATGTGATGGTTTACAATTAAGTGGTGAAGAACCTAAGGTTCTTCCCATGCTACAGCTATTGCAGTTGTGGACACATATGTACACAACTATAGCATAGACATAGCCTATGCATCTATAGTATTCTTTATATACTTGTATATACTGCTACTAATAATATATGGATATATATATATTACCGGAATTATAATTCCCTTACATATACATAGTATCTCAGTGTCTGTGTGTGTGTTCTGCCACTCAGTGTCCTCCTGCTCCCAGTTCATCCTCATGCAATTTTGGCCTGTTTCCCAGTTGCAGAATAGACATTCAACCGAATGAGCAAATGAGTAGATGTGTACCAATTGATGCCAATGAAACACCAACTGTGCACTGGTGATCACAAGGGCAAACAGGGGAAGTAGAATGGGATACTTAGGAGGTGGGTGGCCACCATGGACAAATCATCAGCCTATGATTGCAGCACGGATGTCATTGGCAAAGACATTCACACTGAGATTGAAGCAGGCAGTGTGGCACAGAAGAGCAAAAACAACTATGTGCCTGGTCTACATTCCCAAAAACATGTTGGCTGTAACTTGTGTGGTGCTGATCTGGCCACTGATGAGTCAACACCCTCCATGACACGATGTCATGGTGAAGACTGAGTGACATGGTCAGGGTTCAGCCATTGACAATTGGGGTGTGAGGAGCTAAGAGGAACTCAACTAGTATTGTGAATGCAAGGGAATTATGGACAAATTGGCAAAGGAGGAGATGGTAGAAGGTGAACAAGAGATGCAAAAATCAGAACTTGAAAAGCATTTGTAATGAACTTCATTCATGAACTAGTCACATCAGCATTTAGGGTAGGCTCATTGTGACTTAAATGTTGAATGTTAGTACACATTAGTCACTGTGATGTGTCAATCTTATAACATTGTAAGTGCAGTTGGCACTGCTAAGCCCATTGAGATGCTCATGTTCACTGCAGACTGCCATCTCTGGGTGTGTTTACTCTCCCCTTGTCTATAGACTGCTAACACCCCTACTACATATGCAGTGCAATGAACACCACCACCTGGCCTCATATCCTCCCTTGCCCCTTGGGTCTCCTCACAATTGGCTCCTGATTCAATGCCACACTACACAAGGCTAGCAATGTTCTCAAGCCTGCATGTCCATGGGATCACACTGGTGACCGGTATGTGCCCAAGACCTTCCTGAGTCACACCCTGCCCAACTACGTGCTTGCTGTGGAGTAGGCCACTATGTCCCAGAAGGACATGGTGTGTGCCCAGCCACACCCCACTGGCTGTATACTCACACTCACTCATGTCTGACAGCTCATCTTGAACATCAACACATGTATCGCTGTCGATACCCTGCAGAAAAGTGGTGCATTCACCCCTGAGGAGGCAGACAAGTATGCTAAGATCGGGACGCTGAATCGGCTGTTATAGAGATTCAGAATTTAGTTATCAATCTCTCTGGTAGTTATTATCTGAGGAAGCTCTGAAATTATGCTCTACTCTCCCTGAAAATACACCTACATTCACTATAATGTCACATGTATACTACTCAACTCTACATATTATGAAGGGATACTATGCAACTCTCCATATTATGAAGGGATGCTACACAACTCTATGTACTATGGCCTGTGATATCAGCACTATCCTCTGCTATGTTGGCCCCACTGGCAGCTATCTGAGCTATATGTGCTATCTCCCCCTCCCTAGAGGTAAGGTGAGCTATGTAGGGGTGTATGTATGCTTGGACAGAGGTTTTTTCTGATGTGATGCCCCCACCAGACAATGACCACCACTGCCATCCTCACTGCCCCCACGCCTACTGCCATCACTGCGTGGCCCCCATCCCCATCCCCATGGCCCCCACAGCCACCCACAGCCATGCCACCACCATTTGGCATTCATGGTCATGTGCCTGTCAAAACCACCTTTGGCCTGTTATCTTTTAACAGAACAAGGTCAGTAACAACAAATGTGGTTAAAGAACCCTTCTGACAAGGCCAAAAGTGTTAGCAACGATATATGTAAAGTGTGCAAGCTAAGACAGCAAGAGGAATGGCACTGTGAGGGTGACTACTTGTCAAAACTGGGAAAGAGAAGAGAATTGAAGGAAGAAAGCAGAGTCTACTTAGCAGATAAAACTTGATGATGCTAGCAACATTGTTGCCAGAGATAGAGAGAGAGAGATAAAGGGATAATGAGCTCAAATAGTCGTGAGACTCATCGTATAACTTTGATGTATAGAAGACACTGAGTATAGAGAGGGGGAAGATGTATGATAATAGAACTAGAGAACTACATGTGTTCTATCCTACTAGTTTATACTAGATGTGTCCGCCGATGTCAGATAGAGACCATGTGGGATATAAGACAAATGGCGATGAATATGTGCAAGTGGAATGACGGATATTGGAACAAAAGGAAGGTCCAGTATGGAAGTAATAAAAGGGTGAGGGAAAACAAGGGTAAGACAAAACAAGAAGAAGGTATTAGTCAAATGGAGATGTTGTTCTAGACCTGCGATATTGATGTCTGTTGATATTGGATCTGATATCTTGATGATTGGTGACTAGGGTGAGTGATCCGAAGTGATCCGATCTCGGAGACAGGTGTCGCTAGTGTCACTAGTGTCAGTAACCTCGATAAGATGTCAGTAAGATGTTGATAGACAATGTCAAGTGGGGATAAATGTCAGATCATGACAGCACCCACCCCTATAGCCCCACCACTGTACATGGCTGTATGGCCACTCCTATTACATATACATAACATATTTTAGAATAATATAATGTACATTTGCCTATATTCCACATTTCATACTTGAACTGCTGATGAACTGGTTCATGAGCTGGTTTTGAACTGGCTTGCGAACTGAACTGTGAACCAGTAACCTGCCAAATGTTAAACTGGTTCATGAACTGAACCAGAGTGAACAGACTGCATCCATCACTGGGGCAAGTAAACAAATGAAGGTATAGAGCAACAAAAGGAAAGAAAGGACATAGAGAGACAAGGGGAGATAAACAAGGAGAGAACACAGGGGTTCCCCTTACACCAGCCTTCAAATCAGACTTGGACAGTGCTGTCAACCCTGGCATCAGAGAATTATGCCTTGACAAGTAGGTTATTATAATTGTATGATCACATTTATATTTGGGATTTATTTTCCTCCAGGTCAGATATCTTGGCCAAAGCAGTGGGCTGAGTATGTTGTCTCAATGTCCTCGCTCAGATACTTAGAGCCTGTCTGGTCACGGAATCCATTTTTAGCACCAGAACCATTTGCCGACTCAGGGAGCCGGTGTAGGCTCAGTTGTCTGAGTGCAAATGTGTATGTCACACCAGGATCTCCGGTGTGTCAATGTTTGCACATCATGGACAACAATGATGACATCTTGATGGGATTCACACCATCCACACCCTTTGACTCTGAAACCTGCTCTACTGATGTATGCACTCCATCTACTCCCTCCAACATTGCTCCCACAGATCAGCCTGCAGGTACCTGCCCTTGGATCTGGACTCTTAGTATGCCCTGTCATGACAGCTTAAATAACTGTGGAAGACTGACATTTTGATGTGAATGACATTTGAGAATATAATTCAAAATATAATGGATAAAAAACAGACACAATGCAGGCCTGGATTCCACAGCCACACAACATTACTTTTGTCCTACCAAAAAAGGTAGGAAAATTAAATTCTAGCCCCACGCGGGGGTCGAACCCGCAACCTTGAGATTATACAAGGGGATGTAAGAGTCTCACGCTCTACCGATTGAGCTAGCGAGGCCCTTGTTCTTCGTTCTGTCTACCATGTAATATATTCGTTTCCAGCTTAAGCCGACTCACGATCGCGACCCCGCAGGCGGAGCTCTCCACTAAAGCTCTATGTCTCAACCACCTTCGTGTTCACAGTTCAAGGGATGGCTAGATGTTTCGTTCGTTCTGGGAGCTTGAGAAAACTGTGAGGGGAGGCTCTGCGCTAGGCAGAAGCCCCAGGAGCATTATAAGGTCCGCGCGGTCAGTGAACTGGTACCCACCGAGCTTGCCTTCAAGTTCAAGGATACAACTTGAATGCTACCAGCTGAGACTGCCATCCAACTTTGCCGGGGTTGTGCGCCGAGCTTCATGTCGAGCTCCACTTCCTCCTAGGCTGGCAGCGAATACACCCTTGGATTGAACAACGTACATATCGAAATTATGAAACTTTCAATTTTTTTTGTTGAAATTCTGATCGTTCAGAGCAGAATCTATTATTCATCGTCATTCACCATGCTGTGCGGTGAGTGGTGTGGTTCATAGCGAGAGGTTTAGCTTCTAACTTCCGATGGTCTTCAACTAAAATACCTTGCACATTCAGACTTGCCATGGCAGAAATGCGATGCCGAAACGATACAATTATCAAGTACAGTACAGCAATGAGGATATAACCAGGAAACAACAGTACAAAAAAGGGCTCGCGCTCTATACTTCTTGCGAGACACCCTCCTTCTTCCCCTTCGCAGTCTTCGATGGTAGAAGCTAAGAGAAAGCCCAGTTAAAACACGATCATCACCCATAATATTGAACATACCTCCGGTTGGATAAACGGTACAACACCACCCTGCGAGATCACGACATGCCCGAGGAGTTTGTTGAGCTCCTCGTCGTTCCGGATGGCGAGCTGCAGATGACGCGGTACGATACGTTGCTTTTTGTTGTCGCGTGCGGCGTTACCAGCAAGCTCAAGGATTTCGGCGGCAAGGTACTCAAGGACTGCAGCAAGATAAACTAGATAGGCGTGTCAACTAGATGCGTCACGAGGCCAGAAGTGCAAGTGGCCACTTACCAGGAGCACCGGCACCGACACGCTGTGCGTAGTTGCCCTTCTTAAGCATGCGGTGGATACGGCCGACGGGGAATTGGAGACCAGCGCGTGCTGAGCGGGACATGGATTTGCCACCCTCTCCGGATGCCTTTCCACCCTTAGCACCAGATTTGCCACCTTTGCCAGACTAGAACGCGTGTTATCAGCCAGAACCAAACACAACCAGAGACGCGGTAGACATACCATTATAATTTGAAGGCTTATTGAAGGGTTGAGAGGGATAGAGTTGAGCGAAGAAAGCTTGTTGCTGGTTAGTGATCGGTGGGAGTGAACAGTGCGACTCTGCGTCTGGTCGGGGTTATATAGACAACGCGGTGGTCCGTGCGAATGGAAATGGAAATAAGGTTTGAACACGACCGCGTTCAGATCACGCGTCGAACAAACATCAATAAACAACACAGACTATAAGACACCTTTCACTTTCTTGAAACCACACGCTGCTCTTTCCGTGTGACCACCACCCACCCTTCTACACTTTCTACTTGCCATCCTACTCATAGCAAATGGCTCCCAAACCCGCATCCACCGCTGGCAAAGCCCCTGCTTCGTCGACTGCTACCAAGCAACCCTCAGCCTCCAAAGCTCCTGCTGCGGCTAAGAAGACTTCAAAGAAGACAGCACCTGCTGCAGATGGCGAGAAGAAGAAGCGCAAGAAAACTCGCAAGGAAACGTATGCCTCGTACATCTACAAAGGTGAGTCGCTTATCAGCACATCCATTTGGAACATCTCCTTACCCTGCGTAGTTCTTAAGCAGGTCCACCCGGACACGGGTATTTCCAACAAAGCCATGGCTATCTTGAACTCGTTTGTCAATGATATTTTTGAGCGGATTGCGAGCGAAGCTTCCAGTGGGTCCTTATCTTACTTCTGTCTTTGTCCTGATCTGACGATCTCATGCAGAACTCGCATCGTACTCTAAAAAGTCGACCATCTCGTCGCGCGAAATTCAAACTAGTGTTCGTCTGATCCTTCCCGGTGAGCTTTCTAAGCACGCAATATCGGAGGGTACCAAGTCTGTGACAAAAGTTCGTGTTTCCCCTTTGCCACTCACCCCTATGCTGATATTCGATATCTTGTTCAGTTCTCGAGCTCCTCGAAGTAGATTTATACCTGCTTGGGCTGTATCTTGTATTGTATTACTGTACTCTGATAGTTATTCTATATCATTTCTTCTAACGAAGTATCGCGTGGATGCATTCCTGTTCTTGCACGTGACTGTTCTAATCTTGGTGATGGCAGTCAACTTTGAGCTATTTACTTCGTTGCGGTACGACGCACGTCTTCGCGATGCTAACTGGAACAATGTACTTGGGAGCTCTCCATCGGCTTTGTTTTTCCTTCCTTACCACCTGGACCGGTTCATTCTGGCTGCCGAATATTTCCAGTGGCCACTTGCTATCCAGGTCCTAGGCAAACCGGAGCGCGTACATGCGATGACACTCTTGCAACATCTATGCCAAGACTGCGTGAACCACAATACTAATACCGAGCAGCCACTGCGGGTGTGTCATCCTCCTCATTTACATTACCTCATGTCAACTCCCCGAAGATTCGCATAAAGCTCTCCCGAGACGGACTCCTAAAGGCTGAAGCATTCCCCACCCTCCCCTTAACCCACGACCTCCTTCACGCGTCAACATTCAACCCTGCGTTCTCTGCATCCTTCCGGTTCCCTGCACGCCAGCTACGCGTTTACCTCGACACGGAATCCACACCGCAATCCGAATACACCGCCTACAAAACCACCTTACGTGCGCACTACGATGCGGCGCGTGCACGAGTCGGTATCATATCGCCCATCGCGCCGGAGGAGGTGCTCCTATACAATACATCGGGGTGCGTGATGGAGGGGAGTGTGCGTAATGTGGCCTTCTGGCGCGGGGAGAGGTGGGTTACGCCGGGGTTGGAGAGTGGATGTTTGGCGGGGACGATGAGGCGCTGGTTGTTGGAGCAGGGGAGAGTTGTCGAGGGGGAGGTGAGGAGAAAGGATGTGCGGGTTGGAGAATGGGTCTTATTGTGTAACGGCGTGGAGGGGTGTTTATTGGGAGTGGTATGCGTAAAGGAGTAGTGGGTATTGAAGCACGATATAAACTATATTGAAATATATCCAAGCACCGCGTCTATGCCCCATGGCTTAGTTGGCTATAGCGTCCGACTGTTAATCGGAAGGTCGAGAGTTCGAGCCTCTCTGGGGCAGTGTTTGTTCCATTACAAACATAATTGTCTTTATTGTTGTTAGAATAGTTGTTCAAGTAATTGTATATTTTTCTTTTTTGTTTGTCAGATACTCATATGATCTGAACACTATGGATTATGAATTGTAATAAATCTGGCATCCATAATATTATATAGTGCTCATATGCAATAATCTGAATGAATACAAGGAACACTGGTGCTTCGTGCCAGCCCACCTTTCGATAATAGGTTGAGTTGAGGTATTGGGATCGAAGAAAATGTTGATGCAAAAATGACATATATAATGATGGAACAAATGACATAGGAGTATATAATGTTACAAAGATCGGACTATATTAAACATGTAGAGCACAATAAACAATATTAATCATTGTCATTTTGAATGGCAGAAGGCAGATGCAACAGTGAAAGAGATATCTGACTCTCAAAAGAGCAGTGTATAGTTGACCATGGGAAAACACATCGTGCGTTAGGTCAACTGCAATTTTGTTCAACATTAGACCTTGACAACTGTTGAAGGTAGTGGCATAAGCAGGTGCCAGCAGAAATTGTCGTCTCAAAATGGTGTGGTGGCTGAAAGGGAGTGTCCATGAGAATGTGATATGAGGAATGAGAGTGGTTTTGTTGTCGAAGTAATTTGAGCTGCCACAGTGATGTACCACTTTTACCGAGATCAAGTTTGTTCCTACAATGGTTATAATGACTCGTGCGTTTTTGACCAACCCACAATCCAATGAAAAGTTTCTCATTAGTCTATAGACACCTCCTACTTTTATGGTGAGGAAATGAGTCTGAAAACCTGGCGGTGATTGTTTAGAAACGAAATCGAGAATAACATTAGGGGATGGTAAACCAGAGTCTTTGATTTCTTTCAAAGAATTGGCGGCTAAGTACATTTTGGAGATACCAGGCAGTCAATGAATAATAGTTGAATTATAAGCATCCACCTGTGCATTGTCGGTGCCAGAATAGACCTCAAAACACATTGAATAGGATCGGAGAGGATGTGGAAGATATGAAATCAATCAAATTGTTTGAACGCTCACAAGTGTTGAACACAGAGAGATCTACTTGTGAAGAAACTCCATCACCAATGTCATCAACTAAATTTGCAAAGTAAGGATCTTCAGTGTTTCTGATCGGTGTGATGAGACATTTGATTTGAAATAACGACCATAGAGGTGAAGATTTGATTGAAGTGTCGATAACTTGAGCTTCAGTTCCATGGGGAATGACTGGACATGTCTGCCTGAAGTCTCCAAGAAGAACCATTATTTTACCACCAAATGGCCGATTATTGTTAGTGATTCTCTGCAAAGTTTCGTCCACACATACGAGTACAGCTTTATTTGCCATCGGTGCCTCATCCCATATAAAGATACTGGTCTGTCGCAGTAAATCAGACCTTGAATTGCTGAACTCCAATGGTGATTGTAGACCTTGATTGTCTTCCACAACAGGAATCTTTTTGAAAAATGAGTTCTAAAAGTGCCAAAAATAGAAATGAAGATAATCACTTTATATGTAGAATGGGTTGTTCTTCCACCTGGTAACAGTTGAGCAGCATATGCTGATGTAGCAGTTGCAATGACAATCTTCTGAGCACTGCAAAAGTAATTGCAAACTGTTGTCATCAAGTATGTCTTTCCCCTGCCAGCTCTACCATCCACGAAGAGTGATAGTGGTTTGGATGCAAGAAAAGCATCTTCTATCATGGTGAAAACTT